AAATACCAGACCTCCTCCGCGGACCCCGCGGTCGTCGCGGCGCAGGTAGGCGCAGGCCCCCATTTTGAGCTGTTCCCAGTAGGAAGCATTTCCCTCGGCTGTCTTTGCCTATGCAGGGCAGGGTGGTACCGCCACGGGGAGCACTGCGCAGCCGTAGCGGTGCTGCATCCCGACGCAACCCGCTTTTGCCCCCCGCAGGGGCCGGCAGGGCTGGGTGCCGATGCTGACGTGGCCGCCCGCTCCGTGGGGAAGAGTGGGGCCGGGCGGACAAAGCACATCCAGGTGAGGGAGCCGGGTGGAAATGCTGCTCGAGGGGCTGCGCGGGAGGAGAAGCATCACTCTTGCAAAACTCTGTCCCTCTCCCGCTGGCCCCCCGGGACAGGTCTCCTTCCAGGTGAGCGGGGGGAAGCCCATCGCAGTCCTGCGGGTGAAGGTGGAGCCGCAGCCCCACGTGGTCGACCAGACCTTCCGCTTCTACCACCCGGAGCTCACCTTCCTAAAGAAGACCATTCGGCTGCCCCCCTGGCACACCCTCCCCGGTGAGCCCACGGCGTGCCAGGCGGGGGCTTGGGCTCTTCCTCGTTAGTCAGCATCCATGGTTCATAGGGGCCTTCCTGGAGGTACGGGTGGCATCCAGAGAGCTTGCCTCTGCTTCCTCACCCTTTCACAGCCACTCGCTCCTCATCCACTTGCCTGCGTTAATGTTATATTTAATTCCCTGCACCAGTACGCCCGTGTAGTTTGCTGGTAGCCCGGCACAAGGGATTCTGGTCTGCAGCTGTGTGGGGTGCAGGGTAGCAAGCACAAACACAGAAAATGCTGAATACGGTTTCACCTCGGTCTCTCTCCTCCCACAGGTGCACCGGTGGGGATGCCGGGGGGGGAGCCCGAGATGTTTGTTCGCTGCAGCGACCCTGACATCATTTGCGAAACCAAAAATATGGTACTGGTTATGCTTCGGCATCGGTCTGTCCTTCGTGTCCTTCTGCTGTGGGTTTTCGTCAGCAGGGAAATGCCTTGCACCCGCGGAGCATCCCCATTTATCAGCCCGTGGTAGTGAAACACTGGCAGTGATGAAGCCGAAATTGCCCTTTATTCCCAATTAAAAGGAGCTGTATTGTTTTTGCAATTGAAGCTGAATGCTGCACCTTATCGCATCGTGCAGCAGCCTGTACTCGCTTGTTCTTTTGAGCAAATACCAGATGATTAAAATGCTGGGGAAAAGCAGCCTTTTGTCAGGTGTGGGATAGACCTTCCCTGCTGCTTGGGGTATCCGCAGCCACCGGAGGCGTGCGGCGGGGGGACGGCGCGGCCTCTGAACACACGGCAGAGCATCTCTCTGCTGGGTGATGCTGGGGCGGTGGGGAGGGCCGTGCCAGGCTGAGGTGCTCTTTGGGCCAAGCCTAGGCGTCGCTCTGTGTCCCTCCCCAAGCGCAGCCCTTGCTTTGCAATGTCCAGCAGAGGTTTCCTGGGCTTGCTTTGCAGCTGGGAGAGGTAGAAAGGAAACATAAACTTGCACATATATGTGCAGATGGCGACAAAGGGTAGTTGCTAATTGCTGTTGCAGAAACACGTTAGTATGGTAATTGGATTATGGCTTGTTAGAAAACTTGGGGAAAATTTGCCAAAATTTGATTACAGATGCAGACCTGGAATGCGATAGTCATTTGTATCCTCTTTTGTAATTAAAAATACTGGAAGATCTCAGCCAAGCTGTATAATAACTTAATAACATAGTTGAACTAGATGCTGAAAGCATCTGCTTTCGTAAGTGGGTTGGTGGCAGGTTTTTCCGTTAATGGGAAGGAAACCCTGGAGTCCTCATTAGCTGGTTTGATCTCGAGGTTAACTGTTGGAACGATGCTCTGATTTCTGTGTGCAGGGACCTGGGGAGCCGCAGGACATCTTCTTAAAAGTAGCCGGAGGACCAAGCCCACAGATCAAAAAGTTCTTTGTTGCTATTTATATGTAAGTAGCAGGACCCCAAAAAGCGAGAAACACTAACCCCGAGCACATGGCAGGGCAGGAGGGGAGCTCGCGCCGCCCTTTCCTTGCGGCTTCCTGAGCCCGGCCAGCTTCCCTGAGCAGCAGAAAGCCGGGCAGGGGGCTTCCCAAAATGTTTGCAGCTTAGGGTTTTACGTCGTTCTCTTTTCCTCTACGTAATCCCTGGCCAGAGCATCTCCGGTGTGCAACCTAATGCCTTCTGAGCCTGCCGGGTTATCTCTGCATCAGGCAATGCTGTTACATGAGCTTTAGGAATGGGGGAGACTGGAATTGAGGTCCTTAGAAGAAGTTTTCCCGGAGCTCAGGCTCCCACTTTGGCCTCGTGCTTGGCATTCAGCCGCTCGCTCTGAGCCCGCGGTGCCGTTGGCGATCCCCGTCTGTCTGTCTGTGCTGCAGGGACGCCTGGCTGGCAGCGCCCGTCCAGATCTGGCAGTTCTACCTGCACTCGCTGCAGCGCCTGGATGTCAGCTGCATGGCCGGGCAGCTCACCCGCCTCTCCCTGCTGCTGCGGGGCACCCCGGCCCTGCGGAGGGTGCGGGTCTTCACCTCTCACCCCCAGGAGCTGGAGGTAACCCCCCTGCGGGCAGGCTTGGGGCTGGCAAGGTCCTTTGCGGCTGCGGTGAGCGGGGGGCTGGCCTGGACCAGCCCGGTGAAATCCCCTCTGGAAAGGGAAAGGCAGCCCACTTGGAATTATGAACAATTTACTGCCGTAAAGTGTTTGCGACAATTATCTTTTGATTAGAGCTGTCATGTGTAGGATCATTGGCACGAAACCCCGGAGGGCTAATTATCTGGTTAATGAGACCATCTGAAGACTAACAATTTCTTTAGAATTCGTTCGGCCGTAATTGCGAATGTGAATAATAAAAGGCACAAAAACTCCATCGCTGTCCCGTAAACAAAAGAAAAAAGTCTCCCCGGGTGAAGCCTGCGAGGGGAGGGAGTCCCCGGGCTGGGGAGGAGCTGGCTCTCCCCGAGTGGCTCTTATCCTTCCCGACACGAAGCCAGTCCCAGCGTGTTCATGTAGGTGGGATTCAGTAGTGGTGCCATAGGTGCAGAGGTTTTTACGAGCAATCGGGTCTAGTTTATACTCCAAGCTGGACGTCGCGGAGGTGCAATAGGCCGCTGCAGGTGGCTGCAGCTCCCGATGTTGGTTTCCGCAGGTGGATCCGGACGGCGCCTTCCTTCTCCCTGCCAACGGCATCCAGGACCTGTACATTGGCGTGAGGCCTCGGCAGGCTGGCAACAGGTTCATCTACCTCAACCTGGTGGACGTGGAGTCCCACCAGCTGGTGTCCTCCTGGCTGCTCTGCCTGTCCTGCAGGCAGCCCCTCATCTCCAAGGTACAGCAGCTCTCGTGCCGGAAAAACGCAGTGATGGCGCTGGACCGGCAGTCACGGTCCGGCCAATAACCCGGGGCTGTCTCCTGCTTCTTCCTCTCTTTACGTCCATGGTTTTTTTTGCTGCTTGCCACCCTGAGCACACTCTTAGCCCTCAAGTGCTCAAATAATCTCACTGAAGACCACAGTAAAATGTCTTTCAGGCTGTTTTGAAGGCATTCCCATGCTGAGGAGTGTCAACTCTGAAGTATCCCCGGTTGTGAAGTTAAAGCTACAGCATGCTGCTTCCTATTAGCACTGTGCTGGCGAAGGCCTTGCCTCAAAGATAGAAAATTAGATTTCCCGGCTAATGTGTTCCTTTTAAAAATGTTTTCCCAAAACCCTCGGTACCGGGGGAAGTTCAGATCAGCTTTTAAACTGATGCCCCAGCGTTCTGCCAAGTGCCAGCCTGCCTCCCGGTGCCGCGGGCTGATATCCGAGCGAGTGCCACGGCTCTCCCTGTGGACGTTCATTAATTAGCTGGAGAATGAGCTGGCCGGTCCCAGCTGCTCCCCTGGCCCTTTGTCGTTCAGGCTTGTAATTACTTCTGCAAACGCGCCGGTGCCAGCGGCGGCGCAAGGAGGATGCTTTCGTTTGGACGTGGTTTCTTTATACCTGCTGGTGGAGATCAAATGTAAGGTGTAGAAGGGGTGAGGAGGGGATGTAAGGCAATGTGCCCCTGAAACGCCCCCCACGGTGCGCCGGTGCAGGAGGCAATTCTCTGTAGTCAGTTTGGGGGAGCACCCATTGTCCCTCTGCCCCCTCCACGGTCTGTGCTGCCTCTGCCACGGCTTGTGCTTGACCCGCAGGCGTTCGAGATCTCGCTCCCCGCGGGAGGCGGGAGAGGCTGCAACAAGCGCATCACCTACACCAACCCCTACCCCTCGCCCAGGCTCTACTTCTTGTGCACCAACCGGCCTGACCTCCTGCAGTTCAAGGAGGACTCCTTCGAGGTACGTCCTCCTGCCGCCGGTCCCCCCTTGCCAGACCCCTGCCCTCATCCGGCTGGACCACGCGATGCGCGGAGCGGTGCTTCGTGGGCGCAGGGCGTGGTGCTCGGTGGGTGCAGGGCACGGCGCGATGCTCGGTGGATGCTGGGCATGCTGCTGCAGGAGGGCCATGCTAGCCTGGGAAGGGTGGGCACATCGAGGGGTCCGTGCCGAGTCCTGCTGCCTCTCCTCCCGCCCGTTCTCCCGCAGGTCGCCGGCGGGGAGGTGTACACCATCGGCTTGCGCTTCGCCCCGAGCCAGAGCGTGGGGGAGGAGGAGATCCTGATTCACATCAACGACCACGAGGACAAGAACGAGGAAACCTTCTGTGTGAAGGTCCTCTACCAGTGAGGCTGCCCGCCCGCCGTGGCAAAGTGGCTGTTCTCTGTGCCGGCTGCTGCGGCTCCCCCGGCAGTGCTGCCTCGGGGATGCCTGTGTCTCTCCGATGGGGGGTTGTAAGCCCGGTCCCCTCGTAGTCACCTCACCAAGCTGGGAGGTCTTGCTGTCCGCCGGGATCCCCAGGCATTGCCGTGGGCGCCAGTGGTGCCACGTGGCTCCGCCTGCAGAAATCGGGGAGAGGAACGTATTTGTTACCGCGCATCGCAACTGCAGGATGTCTTTATTTTTGTTAAGCGTTACTATATTTTAGGCATGTTGGAATCTTTTTTTAACTTAAAAAGTTTGCAGATCTGATTCTGCGGAATATTTTTAAAGTATTTTATATTCCACAGTGAGTTTTGCACACACTGAAGCACTTTTCTGGGATTTTTGATGCTTTTTACTCATCCTAGATCAATTAAACTTGCTGTGCAGAACTGGCACAGTGTGGCGGCATTTTCTTTCCGTGGGAGGTGGAAGCCCTTGGCGTCCCCGTCCTGCAGAGGCGAGTGCCGGGCTCGCCCTGCCCACCGCTGTGGTGCCGTCAGTCCTGTGGTGGGGAGCGTTGAGGGTCCCCTGCATCACCCCCAATTCCCTGGGGGGTCGGGGCAGGGACCGTGGAGGGGAATATGGGGAAAATAAGGTGCGGGCTGACACCGCTGACACATCCTAGTGCATTGAAATCTTGTTTGTTGGGTACTAAAAGGCTCCCCTGGTTCCTCGCCGGTTCGTAGCACATCTGTCGCTGTTCGCTCACGCCGTCATGCATTAGGTTCACTGTGTGGAGGGGGAAAACCCAGGGAGGTGAGAAAACGCAGCTGAGGCAGGCAAACGGGGGGGGGGGTGTCTCCCGTGGGGGCAGCTGGGGGTCCCTGCCCCTCGCCATGACCCTCTGCTGCTGCGGCCGGGCGATGAGCAGAGCCCTGGCGGGCAGACCACCACCCGCAGGAGACTTGTGCCCCTGTGCCCGCCACTTCACTTCTCTTTACGGGGTCGGAGGCTGATGAATTGGTAGCCTCGATGGAGTCGTGTGCCGAGCTCCTCTGCCTCCCTAGGACTGATCGGAAATGACAGCTAATACTTTAAAAATTATTATACTGTCTGCAGCACAGAGAGGCCCCTAAGTTGGGTTATTAAAGTAGATTAGCTGAATAATTTTCACTACATTTTCATACAACGATATTTCTTGAGGCTTATGAATGAGCTGGTGCTGTACCCTCAGTTGCGGCAGAGGAGGCAGCTCCGGGGGTGCGGCAAGCGTGATATTTCTAGGCTTATGAATGAGCTGGTGCTGTACCCTCAGTTGCGGCAGAGGAGGCAGCTCCGGGGGGGGGGAGGGGCGGGGGCCCCAAGGGCGGGGTCTTGCCCCGCCCTGCCGTTAAATGCCACCGTCGGGGGCGGCGCATGGCTCTCCTCGCCGATGCACGTAAGGTGGCGTTTGGTGCCTGGCTGCGAGCAGCCCGGTGGGCACCAGCGCGCGGGCAGGGTGCTGCCTGCTCCCCCAAAGTGCACGGCCGTGCCCGGGTTCGACCCGAAATCTGCAAAACCAGCGAGGCTGTTGAAGAAAAGTTGAAGACGACTTTCCCAGTAGGAGATGGAGGTGTCTCGTGTCCCGGCTCCTTCGGGAGGACCTGGACACCCACGGCCGCTCCTCCTTTGCGGCGCTGCCTGCGGCCAGGAGGAAGGGCTGGTAAATAAAGCCTCCGATAGCCCTGGTTTAAGAAACCAGAGTGAGAGTTTGTCACCTTTTAGTGGCGTAAGGGTATGTGGGAAAACACTCTGCAGAGCCCTGTGTCCCCGCTGTGATGAAGCTGGTCTGAGCTGTCTCCCAGCCAGCTTAGAATAATGCTAATGGCTTTGTTGCGGATGATGAAGGTGTAATGAGGTGGCTGGATTATTTACACACGTGCCTGTGTTTGCTGCAGAGTTTAAGGGGAGTGTGGGAAACTGGGAGCCAGTTGGCAGTTTGGGAGTTCCCTTCTCCCCTCCGTTTCCAGGGAGGCAGAGCACGTGAGAGCCACGCTACCTTCTCCGGCCCAGAATCCTCTTCCTACGGCACACACAGTCCCATAAATCTTTGTAGGGCTTTAATATGCTCTGCTGGTGCCTGTTAGTTTGTTTTCACTACGTTAGCTTTAATTAAACAATTTCCTTTCTTTGAATGTAAGCAAACCCCGGTGATCGATCCGAGCGGGTTTGTCAGCGCGGCGGGGGCCGCAGAGGGGCAGCCCTGCGGGCAAGGGGTTCGGGGGGGGCGAGACCCCGTCCTGCCGGGGAGCAAAGAACCTCCACAGAGGTGTGAGGCGTGCAGTGAGTGCTCCAGAGCCCAGCAGAAAAGGGGCTGTGGCTGTGCACGGCTCTGCTTGGGGTTAAAACCACGGCCCTTGGAAATGCTGCAGCTGCTGCTGCTCCAGCATGAGGCAAGTGCAGAAGCAGCGTCTGCTGCCCGGCTCTGCCAGGCAGGGGCTGGGATGGAGCCGCTTCTTGGGTTCACACTTGATGAAGTCGTCCCTGCTAATGACAATAAACTTGTAGCACCGTGTGCCTAGTATGCAACTTGTTGTTCTCTTCCCGTTTCATTCATGTCAGGAAGAAAATTGGATTCCGGTAATGATATCATTAATTCACCCTAAAAATCTCGGCTCGCATCTCATCGTTGGAGCATACAGGGAAGAAAAGATTGGGAAGCACTTTCCGTGGTTTCAATAACTCTTGGGACTGCTCTGCCCTCTCAGAGCAGGCAGGACCCTTCGGGGACATGAGCATCGCTGCCTTCACCTCGCCGATGCTCTGCCCTGGGCAGCCTCAAGTCTCTTAAATCTGCCTCTCACCGCTGCGGGCTCCTGCTGGTGTTTGCCTCCTGGCAGGTCTCCGGGAGAGGAGTGTGTGCACCTGCAGGTCAGCATTTCAGATGTCACAGCAGCTCTTAAAGGGGTGTAGCAGCAGCCTGGATCCCGTACCGGCGCTGCGGGCAGCACGCGGCAGCAAGAAGAGGAAGCTGCTGGAGCCGGTGGGAGCCCAGCGAGGGCTGCACACCGTCCCGGAGGCAGGCAGCGAAACGGTGGCGCTGGGGCGGCTGATGGGCGCTGGGGCGGCTGATGGGCGCTGACGCCCGTGGATCCAGCTGAGTTCCCTTGGAGTGACTTGGTGAGGGGCTGGCTTTCCCTGCTGCTCCCCCAGAGCTCTGCTGCCCCGTGGCCTTGGGGCCCTGGTGTTTCCCGAGGAATGGAGATGAATGCTCCGCAGTAGCTCTTTAATTGAGCTCATTTGGCGGGGGTCAGGCACGGGTTGCTGAATTGACTGGAGGTGAAGGCAAGAATGCCCTGCATCTCTGCCAGGTGCTTCAGCCAGCCTTTCAAGGCTTTCCACGGCCCGGTTTGATTCTGCTTGTGCTTTGCCTCTCCAGGCATCAGTGTCCCAGTGGGGTTTTTAGCTGTTGCTTGGAGGCATCCAGCACGGCACTGGCTGCCCTGGCACTGCGGGATGTGGGCTCCCCTCAGATGTGGGCTCCTCACCTCAGCCCGACACTGGGAACCTCGAGGGATGCCAGCATGTGCCCCACCGTGCTGCTGCTGCACCCCGACACCTCGAGGGATGCCAGCATGTGCCCCACCGTGCTGCTGCTGCAGCACGTAGCACGTCGCACGTTTCTCCGCCCTCCCCGGCTGCAGATGCGCTGCAGGGAGGTGACCGGGGCGGCTGTGCTGGGATGGCTCCCGCTCGGCTCCGGCTCCCACTGCCTCCATGGGCTGCTCTCCGTGAGCTTTGCCAACCAGTGCTGGCATTTCCCATCCTGAGTGGGGTGGATGGAAAACCCATCAAAATTCATCTGCTTACCCAGACAGGAGTTGTCGTCAGTGCGCTGCTGCAGCAGCTGAACTTTACTGATCCTCAGAACAAACAACCTTTCCAGGGCTGTTTTTGGAACCAACAACCTGGGGCCAGGCAGGAGCAGGCAGAAAGCCCTGCCTGACGCTTGTGCATGGCTGCCCGCACTGCCTTCCCACGGGAGCTGTGCTGGCTCGCTGGCATCGGCACTGCCGGGTCCCCAGTCATTGGCACTGGAGGTTACTCCAGGTGTTCGGAGGTGAGGGGCAGGCGGGAGACATTACAAGAACAGCAGCAGAGGTGTAAGAAAAACAGCTAAATCTGTCCCCAGCTCCCAGCTGTATGCCAGGCCCAGCCCTACCCACGCCTGAGGCAGGGAGGGACCGCTAAAAAATGGCAAGTAGAAATGAGAAAATAAATTAAAAAAAGAAAAAGAAAAAAGGGAGTTGGGTGCAAAAGCTCCTGCACCAGCAAAATGCCCTTTCAGACTGGGAAATGGGCTCCCGAGATGCCCGGTCTGCAGCAGGGTACTCCTTGAGCCCAAACTTTTAAACCCACCTTATTTTTCCCATTATGAGGACGAATGTGCGACTGCCTGAGAAACCCCTAATTAAACAAAGGCTCACCAGAATATTTGCTGGGAGCTTGCCAGCCTTGTAATGTGACACTACCGGGTATCTTTATTAGCTGAAATGAGTATTTAGAGTCTCTGCCAAATTGAAAGCTGATAGACTCGTTTGGAAGTGGCACTGCAGCATCAAGCAAACGCTTCTGCAACCTGCCGACGAGGCTTGGCTGCGGCGGAGGGCGGCTGCGTCGCCCTGAGCGGCGGGAGGGGGCCGTTAAGATGACCAAAAAACGCCCCCCGCCAGCGTGGCATGGCGCCTTCTTATGGCAGATGTGATGTCCCGCTGATGGAGCTGTGCATCGCCTTTCGGCTGGCGTTGGCCAAGTGGTGGGATGCCTTCTCTTCCTGTGGCGGGGGAACAATCACAGCCAGGAGAGGCAGATCTGGCTCTCTGGCTATTACTGAAGCCAATTAACTTTTGCAGTGCCTAATTGCAGGCTGAAGGAGTGGTGCCTAGAGCGATGGGGAGCGCCTGAACGAGCCCCTTTGCAGAGCACTTGGAGCACAGGGGCTGCTCGGGCGCGACCAGCCCATCACCCGGCCTCGAAGCTGGCGAAAACCCTGTGCCAGCCGCGCCAGCCTGCTGCAATGCCCTGCGCTCCTCAGGGCAATTATATCCTGGAACATAATTTCATTATCAATTAACCAACAACACATGGAAGGATGGTTACACTATGAATTTATTGGTGTATGGTCTCTGCTCCGAGTGCCGGGTGCGGCTGGCGGTGCTGCCGGAGCCCAGGGTGACCAGCAGGCCAATGCCATGCCTTGAAACAGCAACACCGGGAAAAACCACCACCCCGTGGGGAGCGCCTGAACGAGCCCCTTTGCAGAGCACTTGGAGCACAGGGGCTGCTCGGGCGCGACCAGCCCATCACCCGGCCTCGAAGCTGGCGAAAACCCTGTGCCAGCCGCGCCAGCCTGCTGCAATGCCCTGCGCTCCTCAGGGCAATTATATCCTGGAACATAATTTCATT